CACACACACACACCCCAACCCCCCCAGATGTTTCAGATAAAGAAGATATGTTGCATTGGAGCTGGATATGTCGGTGGTCCAACCTGCAGTGTCATCGCTCACATGTGTCCAGAGATCACGGTGACTGTTGTGGATGTCAACGAGTCTCGCATCAAAGCCTGGAACTCTGACACCCTGCCTATCTATGAGGTAGGATATCAGGGGTAATATTAAAAAAAAAAAAACTACGGTGCTAGAGGTAAAACAGGATCATTTACAATCTCTGGTGAAAGTTTAACAATGGGGGGCAGTTGGTCACAGTTCATCTGGAGGAGTGAATTTGCCGTGCTTGCTTTTTTTTTCTTTGCAGTGTGACCCTTACACATCCAGATGTAACCGATGAGACCGATAGTTTCACTCACATCACAGGTTGATTGTGGCTCATAGAGTAGTAAAGCTTGTGCCTGTCTGTCTGTGCACGCAGGAGCGAAATGCAGTCGTTTGTTGTTTGCACTGTTAACAAAACATCTCATGAAACGCTGAATAGATTTAGCGAAACTGAGAAGGCTAAGTTGACACCAAGAACTGATGAACATTTGGAGGCAGTTTGATTAAAGATGGCTGCCGCAGCAAAGCTATCGTAGAAAACTGAAATAATTAGCAAATCTGTCGATTTTACAAATATTAAGCTAAAATATGGCGTGGTAGTCCAGTAGACTGAGTACAGTTGTGGTGTACAGATGAGACAAGTATCTTCTGTTTGCAGTAAGTCTTAGTTGTGATTTTTGCTGTGCACATGCTTATTAGTATCCTCTTTGATAGTGGAAAATTTAAACTCCATGCAAAGCGTCACTCCTAAGATATCAACAGAAGTATTTTTGGCAGGTTAGATTTTGACTTTACTATGTCTGTTCTACAATGAATACCTTATTACCCTTATGTGACATTTAAATGTAATTTGGATAAATGCAAACATTATTTTGTGCCCTAAAAACTGACATATTTCATAGCATCATAGCATTAAAGATCATTACATAATCCAGTGAAATGTGCAACAGGCTCACCAGGTTGCATTTGATGCACAATGTTTCAGCTGTACCCGACGTTGATTTGCATGGTGTTTAGCAGCAGTGGTTTAAGTATGTTAATTCATTTATTTGAATATAATAGACATTTAATAAGCTATTACTTGAATGCATATCATTCATGTGAACGGTAGAACATTTAGTAATACTAATATACTGTAAAAATATCCTAACTGTTTTTTTTACCGTGGAGTCAATGTAAATGAAACAAATGCATTATTAAAGTGTGTAATACTGATAATTATTTTTATATAGTTTATTACACTAGCAATGATTGACTTGTTAGCTTTCCAGCATTTTAAATGATGTCTCTGTTTTATGATGTATCTTTTTTTATGCACCCTTATTTTTATGTATATGAGTACAGCTGAGACAAAAATTAACGTTTTGTTTTTGATTAATTGTGAACTTAGGGCTATTATCTTTTGGTTATATTTTAGTTAACAAATAAAATATATATTATGTAAAAATATGTATTATTTTCAGTGTGTTTTTAGTGTCTTAATTTTTGTGTGGAAGTGAAAAAAAAGCAAAACCTGCCTCAGTCTACCCTAGCTGAGATGGATCCCCAACTTACAGTCTGAATGCTAAATGATTGCGCAATCTGTGTTTAAGCTTTGACATTAGCTGGAATCAACTTTTTCTCTCATCTCATGAACCACTGGACATATTTTAATGGAATTTACTGGAAGTAATCAGGATGTACGTCTACAGCTAATTAGCTTTTTGAGTGTTTTTGACATGTGATTACTGGTGGATTCAGACGTCAGACTCTTGTTGTAAGATGAATGCTCTAACTGCTGAGCCACACCTCGTGTCAGGAGTTGTCTGTTTAAGAAGTTGTACTTGGTCAATCATGAGTCAGTAGATGTTTCTACGCACTCAGTTGTTGTTTTTCCAAACTCTTGCTCTGTCTCACGGACCAAATGAGACACAAATTAGTTCCAGACTGTGTTGCAAGTTTTCTAGCGTCAGCTCGGACCACAAGGTATTACATCATCGCTACTACTCTTGGTCATTGAGAACTTGTCTTACATCTGTGGTATTTGGTGTTTTTTTTCTTCTCCCCCCTGCACATTCACTGATGAGGCCTCTAACTTCCTCTCGTTTCAGCCAGGACTGAAAGAGGTGGTTGAATCATGCAGAGGAAAGAATTTATTCTTTTCCACAGACATCGACTCAGCCATCAGGGATGCCGACCTCGTCTTCATCTCCGTGAGTTTCCTCGCTCTGTTCTGTACACGTACCGCACCTCGTCAACACGCCGTGACCTCGCCTCTCCTGCAGGTGAACACCCCGACCAAGACCTACGGGATGGGGAAGGGCCGCGCTGCTGACCTGAAGTTCATCGAGGCGTGCGCCCGGCGGATCGTGGAGGTGTCCGACGGCTACAAGATCGTCACGGAGAAGAGCACGGTGCCGGTGCGGGCCGCGGAGAGCATCCGGCGGATATTCGACGCCAACACCAAACCCAGCCTCAACCTGCAGGTTTGTTCTCACCGCACGTTCACAACTCTTGTCGTTTTTCTTGTTTCTGAAAGCATGAAACTGCTTTTAGGTTCTGTCCAACCCGGAATTCCTTGCAGAGGGAACAGCGGTGCGGGATCTGAAGGAGCCGGACCGCGTCCTGATTGGTGGGGACGAGACCGCCGAAGGTCAAAGGGCAATCAGAGCGCTGTGTGCTGTTTATGAACACTGGGTTCCCAAAGCACGAATCATCACCACCAACACATGGTCGTCTGAACTCTCCAAACTGGTGAGGAATAATCTGTTAAAATGTTGATAATTTTTTCATATTTATTTGATTATATCGTTAACTTACAGTTCACTATAATAACAATAAAACTGATGGATTTGATTATTCTGTATATTCAGTGTTTCATTGATTACTTAACATTTTGCCAACTGAATGTGCTCAAGAAGAAAAGTTCCAAAATCCTATTTTGACACAAGAAAAAATAATCATACTTGTATGTGTAGCAATTCATATACAGGTGCTGGTCATAAAATTAGAATATCATGAAAAAGTAGATTTATTTCAGTAATTCCATTTAAAAAGTGAAACTTGTATATTATATTCATACATTACATACAAACTCATATATTTCAAATGTTTATTTCGTTTAATTTTGATGATTACAAATGACAACAAATGAAAATCTCAAATTCAGCATATCAGAAAATTAGAATCTTGTGAAAAGGTTCAAAATGGATGGCACCTGGTACCACACTCTAATCAGCTAATTAACTCAAACCACCTGCAAAGGCCTTTAAATGGTCTTTCAGTCTAGTTCTATAGGCTACACAATCATGGGGAAGACTGCTGACTTGACAGTTGTCCAAAAGACGACCATCGACACCTTGCACAAGGAGAGCAAGACACAAAAGGTCATCGCTAAAGAGGCTGGCTGTTCACAGAGCTCTGTGTCCAAGCACATTAATAGAGAGGCGAAGGGAAGGAAAAGATGTGGTCGAAAAAAATGTACAAGCAAGAGAGATAACCGCACCCTGGAGAGGATTGTGAAACAAAACCCATTCAAAATGTGGGGGAGATTCACAAAGAGTGGACTGCAGCTGGAGTGAGTGCTTCAAGAACCACCACACACAGACGTATGAAAGACATGGGTTTCTGCTGTCGCATTCCTTGTGTCAAGCCACTCTTGAACCACAGACAGCGTCAGAAGTGTCTTGCCTGGGCTACAGAGAAACAGGACTGGACTGCTGGTGAGTGGTCCAAAGTCATGTTCTCTGATGAAAGTAAATTTTGCATTTCCTTTGGAAATCAAGGTCCCAGAGTCTGGAGGAAAAGAAGAGAGGCACTTCATCCACGTTGCTTGAAGTCCAGTGTAAAGTTTCCACAGTCAGTGATGGTTTGGGGTGCCATGTCATCTGCTGGTGTTGGTCCATTGTGTTTTCTGAGGTCCAGGGTCAACGCAGCCACATACCAGGAAGTTTTAGAGCACTTCATGCTTCCTGCTGCTGACCAACTTTTTGGAGATGCAGATTTCATTTTCCAACAGGACTTGGGACCTGCACACAGTGCCAAAGCTACCAGTACCTGGTTGAAGGACCATGGTATCCCTGTTCTTAATTGGCCAGCAAACTCTCCTGACCTTAACCCCATAGAAAATCTATGGGGTATTGTGAAGAAGAAGATGCAATACACCAGACCCAACAATTCAGAAGAGCTAAAAGCCACTATTAGAGCAACCTGGGCTATCATAACACCTGAGCAGTGCCACAGACTGATCGACTCCATGCCACGCCGCATTGCTGCAGTAATACAGGCCAAAGGAGCCCCAACTAAATACTGAGTGCTGTACATGCTCATACTTTTCATGTTCATACTTTTCAGTTGGCCAACATTTCTATAAATCCTTTGTTTTTATTGGTCTTCAGTAATATTCTAATTTTCTGATATGCTGAATTTGAGATTTTCATTTGTTGTCACTTGTAATCATCAAAATTAAACGAAATAAACATTTGAAATATATGAGTTTGTATGTAATGTATGAATATAATATACAAGATTCACTTTTTAAATGGAATTACTGAAATAAATCTACTTTTTCATGATATTCTAATTTTATGACCAGCACCTGTTTATAAAAAAACATATCAGTTATATTAAACTGTCAACTTTATGTTTTATAGACTCTTGTGTGTCAATGAAGATGACAAAAACAACCTAAAAAAAACGTGTTTGAATTAAAACTTTAAACATTGTGTGTGCAGGCAGCCAATGCCTTCCTGGCTCAGCGAATCAGCAGCATCAACAGCATCAGTGCTCTCTGCGAGGCCACTGGAGCTGATGTGGAGGAAGTAGCCAAAGCCATCGGTATGGACCAGAGAATAGGCAGCAAGTTCCTCAAAGCCAGTGTTGGTAAGAAGCTTTTACTTCAAAATATTATAAACCTATTAGAGGTAGGGACATTTGGTGGCAAAAAAATATATAAAAATCTGAGATGAGTCATCTCCAACACACTCTCTACATTATTTTAAGGTTTGACCAAAACGACTACAACTCCATCATCTCTTCTTATAAGATAGTTTAAAACTCCAGAATGACAGGTGGCAAGGATGTTATTTAAACATGTACTCCTGTAGGTGTAGAGATTAAAATGCTTGTTAAATGGTCTGTCACTACAGAGTTACTGTACCAATGATGGACGATGATAGAACATCTTCAGGACAAATGAAATTTGTTGCCGTTGACCATAAAACTGGTTTGTGATTCATTCATGCAGGTTTTGGCGGGAGCTGTTTCCAGAAAGACGTGCTTAATCTGGTGTATCTGTGCGAGGCCCTCAACCTGCCCGAGGTGGCTTCTTACTGGCAGCAGGTGAGGAACGAGCTCATCTCGGGAGTGTTTGGCTCCCTTGACGTTCACCTCCTCCTCACCTGCTGGGGTCTGATTTCTCTCAGGTGATCGACATGAACGAATACCAAAAACGGCGCTTCGCCTGTAGGATCATAGATTGTCTCTTCAACACTGTCACTGGCAAAAAGATTGCTCTGCTGGGCTTCTCTTTCAAAAAAGACACTGGTGACACAAGGTTAGTCTTTAGTTTTATACAGTTCTCATTTTTGTTGAATAAATCAGTCTCATTTGTAAGATTATAGCAGATACTGTAGACATAAAAAAAGTACAGAGTTCAGTATTGTATAATCAAAACTTGCTGAGTCACTCCTCCTCATTTCCCACTACTTGGAAGATTACCAAAGTAGTTTGCTGTGAACTCTTACCCTGATCAGTTCGTGCTTGTGTGTTTGTTTCGCAACTGCAGGGAGTCGTCGAGTATCTACATCTCTAAATATCTGATGGATGAAGGAGCCAAGCTCTTCATTTATGACCCCAAAGTTCTTAAAGAGCAAATAATTCACGACCTGTCCCAGCCCAGCATCTCAGAGGACAACCCTGGCCGAGGTGTGTGTGATCGTTTATTGCAGGTTTGAGTGTTTACTTTTGCTGCAGCACTATCTAAAAGGAGAAGAATAAAAACAAACTGTTGTTACCTTCTAATGCAGAGAAGTGGGGCCGAGCCATTTGATTTGGCCCACCAGCAGTTGACAGAGTTAATAGGTTGTAACCTGTCGTCCTTTGTAGAAACACAGTATTTCCACTTAGTCATTTCCTCTAATGGCCCATTGACCATATAAGGGCTGTAGTGCAGATAGTTTTCACTCATGGTGCTGCTTTTATCTTTGATATATTAAGATGAAACATGATATACAAGTAACAAGATATATTTAGATTGGATTTTTTTAAATAGAGAAGAATAAAAAGGAGAAATGTAATGGGAAAGATTGAAAGAGAGATTAGAAGATATGTGAAATATGCGCCAAGAAAACACAAGACAACACACCCGACATCTGTCTGTACACCTGCAAAAATGGAGAAAACCAAAACACAGCAACATTTAGATTAGACTGAACCACACATGTATGTTTGCACACTTTATGAAGCCACAAAAACTCAGTTTATGAAATGTCCCATGAGCTTTTGCTACCCGATCGTATGGCAGACTTTCTCTAAGTGCAGACTAAAACAAAAGCGGGCCGCGGCACTGGCTGCTAGCTTAATTGTTAAAAGTAAAGGACTTTACTTAAAAAAATTTGTATTTCAGTTACTGCATTTGGCCCGCTGTCTGGGATAGATTTTCGTTTGGGCCCCCCTTTTCTAACAAATTAAACAATTCAGAGCTTTTTAAAATCCTGAGCATTCTTTCAAAGCTGCATCTTCAAATCTGAAGGTTTTAGAAAAATAACTAAAGAATTTGTAGAACAAGTCTAAAAGTTAAACCTTTAACTTTGTTTTTTAAAAATTAGACTTTACCTAAAGATTAAAACAAAAATGCATTAAATGATTGATAATTTGAAGCGGTCATTGTCTTATTTGTAGTTTGCGTGGTAATAGTTTATACTTTTGGTTCTTGCTGTTATTTATGGTACGAGGTCTCAAGGAAATATTTTCTTTGCATGTGAAGCTCACCAAAAGTTTATTCTCTTTTTCTTTTATTTTGTAGTGTCTGAGTTGGTGACCGTAACGTCTGACCCTTACGAGGCGTGTCAGAGCGCTCATGCACTGGTCATCTGCACCGAGTGGGACATGTTTAAGGTCACATTTAACTTCAGAGAATCATTAAAAATAATAATAATAATAATTAAATAAATAAAACAGAGTGAGCAGAAACGTTAAGGCTTGTAATTCTGACACCTCCGCAGGAGCTGGACTACGAGAAGATTTACAAGAAGATGCTGAAGCCGGCCTTCATCTTTGACGGCCGCAGAGTGCTGGACCACCTCCACGCTCAGCTCCAGTGCATCGGCTTCCAGGTGACCAGAACATTCAGCCTTTTGATACAGATCCTGAAGACAGAACGCTGACTCCCTCCCTCTCTCTCTCTCTGCAGATCGAGACCATTGGAAAGAAAGTGGCGGTAACAAGAATCCCCTACACCCCGGCAGCCGCTTGCCCTCGCACCGCTGCCGTCGAACCCCCCACCAAGAAGGCCAAAGTCTGAAGCTGATCCCTCCCCATCGAGACATTCCTCTCAGTCCATTTCATTTCAGCAGCAGTAGGGGTCTGATTAAAGCGTACTCCCCTCATTAGCCGAGCAGCAGGAGCAGCTGCTTCTCCGCAGAGGGACGGAGGTGGCTGAGCATTAAATCCAGTTTTTATTTGAGAATCTTTAAACGCGTTCAGCACGAAACCATTCCAGCCGCACGAATATGGTTTTTACAACATGCTGAACATCAGACCCTCCATCTGCTCCGCTCATTTTGTAGAGATTTTAAACACGAGGCTACTTTTTTACTGAAATCAATTATTAATTGCTAAGTTTTATACGATTTCTTTTTACAAAAATATTTTTATGGATCACCACACTGTTAATCCTCTGCATCAAATACTGTTTACTCAAAAGGGCCAATGCAATAAACTGATGTCTGTTTTTAATTTGTGTTGATTTCATGTTCGACAAGCATAAAATGCACCTGATACATAAAGTCTTTTAATCATTTAAATACAAATATACATTTTAGATGTTAGACTCAAAATGACCATGTGCAGTTAAAAACTATCAACAGGTGCAGATATTACAGAAACCGCTGTTTTGAAGTGTTTCCATTCACTTCCACCCTTGTACACTGTGACAAAATGTATATTTTTGTACTGTACACGACTTTCAGTCTTTGAAAAATAATCCATCATTAAATAATTTAATGTCTTATAACCAGAACTACTTCACACCATTAATGCTGAAGCAGAGCAGTAAGTAAAATGAAAAGAGCTTTTCAATCTTCACACGTGATTTCTGTTTGTCTCTTTTTAAGCAGATTCTTCAGGAAGAATTCACCTGTGAGAGCAAAATGAAAAATAATTATCTTCTACCTGTAAGATTCTAATTTTTAACAGAACACCAAATATAATGGCCATGCAAAGAGTTTTCTATACTTTTTTCTGCAATAAAAAAAGGTAATCTGCTGCCATAAAAGACGGATGTTTGAGTGTTAGCAAATAATCCCAAATAGCACTGGAAAGATTGTATTGAAACTGTCAAAGTCATCACAGATGAGCTTCAAATGACCACTTTTTGGGGCAGTCTGATTCAAGATGGCTGCCATAGCTATCTGAGAATAAACACAAAAATGGCTAAAACGCTTTAAATCATACAAACACTAAGCTAAAGCTTGGTGTAGCAGCAACGCATCATTACCATCTTGTAGCCTGAGTGCAAACAGATAGCACAATATCTCTTTAAAATTTTAACACTCAAAAAGAAAGTGTTATGGCAATATTTATTTAACAAAGACAGAAATATGTGGTCCAAGAATGAAGGTACTCTGTGGGATGATCAGCTGAGTTTTATTGCAACAACAGGAAACACAGAGAACAACCTGGCCTGTCTCTGTGCCTCTGCTTTTCTCTGTCACTGCCTCTCCACACCACTTACTGTGTCTCGAGAGGCCTCATACATATATTAACAAACACCATTATGTCATCTTAGCAAGATTTGATACAAGGTCAATGGAAAACACAAAGATAAACACAAGTGATATCTAAGAATGACTCTTGTTAGCAAATCTTGTTCTGACTTTAATCATTCTATCTGCAGGTGAACAGCAAGTCATGAAAACCTAGGTCATTAAAGGATGTCATGAATTACTTGCTTAAACATAAAAGTATTAGTTCCATTACAAGCAGTTTTTCAGGGATGCTACTTTTTTTATGCGATTTAACCAGCTTAATCACATTTATTCATAATCTTTTTAAATTTTACACTTTTAAAACTAGGACTAATAATGACTAGAGGTAAACATGTTATTGTTGGGATTTCCCAAAAATACATTTGATTCTTCATACAGAACAGAATGAAGAAGACTTCTCACCTGCTTTGTAAGAGGACCGAACCAGCGGCCCGCTGGCTGTGTAGAGAAAACCCATTTCATTTCCCACTTTCTCCCAGTGAGCAAACCTTTCAGGAGTGATGTATTCTTCCACCTAAGCCCAATCACACATCATCTCTGATGAGTATCAGACATTTTCTCCTGATAGAGCTGACTCTACAATAAACAGGGACGTCTACAGGTTCACCTTTAGGTGGCGCTTTGTGGGCTGCATGTACTGTCCAAGGGTCAGGCAGTCCACTCCGGCCTCTCGCAGCTCTGTGACACGAACACAGCATCGCTGTCAGAAAACTGCAGGTGGAAATTTGAGTGTGTGTGTGTGTGTGTGTGTGTGTGTGTGAGAGACCTGCAGCTTCTACACACCCTTCATAGTGTTGCTTATCTGTGTGTCGGTCTCCCCAAGTCCCAGCATGATGGAGGTCTTGGTGAGCAGGCTGGGTTGGACCTTCTTAGCATGTTTGAGGACACTCAGAGACTGGTCGAAGTTCGCTCTGGGGTCACGAACATACCTGAAAACAGATTATACATCATGAGCAGGTAAAAGAGACGTCCAGAAAGAAGGAACTAGTTTAACGATATTGTTACTTCTGCAGTTTAACCAACGTTGAGAAATGTGATCTGCTGCCCCCTGCTGGTCAGAGTGTGCTACAGCACTTATTTCTGATTCTGTGAACTGTGACATGATTTAATAAAAGAAAAACTAGCTTAGAAAGGAAGAAAATATTGTCATAATGCAGTAAAATTAGCTGATCAGACTAACTTAAAGTTTACAATCAGGTGAAACAAGCTAATAAATACCTACGTGAGCAGTGGAAAATGTTGAAGTAGTTAGTCAACTATTTGGAGGTGAAATAGTAAAAAAAGGTTTTTCCTAAAAATCCTATCTCTACCTCTGCAGCTCCCGCACTGTCTCCACATTGTGAGCGTACACGTCTAACCCCGACAAGGCGATCTGCTCTACAGCTGCCAGGTCGCCACGAAAATCAGGGGTCAGACATTCAACCAGGATCTGAGGATTTCTGAAGAAAAGTGACAAGAAAAAAAAATTACTTGTGATTATTTTTCTTGTGTCAAATAAAAAACGTGTAACATCCAGAAGAGTTTTACCTTTCCTTCAGGCTAGAAACAGTTTTAGCAAAATGTGCTGCTCCTCCATCAGAGATATCTGTGAAAGAAGATTGTCAACAGATCAGAACAGACTTAAAGTTTTGGTTTATACTGCCCGGTCACTATGATTTTAAAAACGTTTAAGCAAATAGAAAGAAATGTGACATTATTAGAATAGTTCAGTCCCTTAGATATTAAAGCAGCAGACACCCTGAGATAAGTTTTACCGTCTCTGTCGACGGAGGTCAGAACCACGTAGTCCAGGCCCCAGGCAGCGATGGCCTCGGCTGTGTTGTACGGCTCGTTGGGGTCCAGAGGAGGAGGCTGCCGGGCCGTTTTTACTGAGCAGAACCTGCACCCACGGGTGCATGTGTCTCCCATCAACTGCATGCAGACACAAAGTGAGAATCTTCAGCAGGTTACAGATAGATTTTAACGTTTTAACACAGCAAGTACTGTACGCAAAGACACATGAAAAAAATATTTATTTTGTTTATAACTGGAAGTAAATCTGCAGACTCACCATGATGGTGGCTGTAGCTGTGGCGTACTCCCCCCCTCCCCAACATTCCCCGATGTTTGGACACCTGGCCTCCTCACACACCTGAGGAAAACACAAAAGAATTAACTTTGATATAAAAACAAAAATATTAAAAATATCTGTTTGAATTTGCAAAACAAGGTGCCGTTACAACATTGAAACTTTAATGTTGTTTGTAAATGAAGTGTCAGTATGTTTCTTTCTTGATGACGTGGCAGTATTTGTGTTTTCTGACACTCACCGTGTGCAGGTTCAGGTCTCTCAGAGTGTTCTTCAGCCTGTTGTAGTTCTTTCCAATGGGGATCTCAGTCTTCAGCCATGGAGGAAGCCTTAACCTAACAGGACGACATAGACCGGTCACTCATAAAGTGACAGAAAGGATGAAATTAGGTTTTTGAGTTACAATTAAGACACAGGAGTGAAACTGGGAGTCCAGTTTTCAAACAGGAGCTGGATGATAGAGACTGCAGACAAAGCTGTAAGAAAGGAGGTTTTAAAAACAGTGAAGAGTAGTAGATGATTCTAAAAGCGCTCAACACAGTCTGACTTGAGATTTGTGTACATTTAGCGTGGTTTCTTGGTCCTTTAACAAACCTCTCTCCTTTCTGCCTCTTCAGGTTGCCTCTGTACGCGGCCCACTTGCTTTTCTCTGACAGCTCCCCTGAAATAAAGTCCTGCAGATCAGGTCCATCTTCTTGGCTCAGGAGCTCTTTCTTCCTCTCAGTCCGATCCGGAGCGGACTCAGCCGCAGTCGACAGGCAGCCTGTGTAAACCTAAAGAATATTTTTTGAAAAGTCCACATTTAGTTTTTATTTTTAGTTCAAACATTTGGCTTTTTGAGAATGTTTAAAGACAATCTGTCACCCAGTTACAAAGCAAACGACCCCTTCTCATCACGTCGTCTAAGTTTTAACTCTGTGACGGCAGCCATTACTGGATTAAACCTGGTTTTACAGGGGTTTCGAGCACTGAAATAAAATACTCACCTGCAGGATGGTCCTGGGACTAAGCCATAGGTGGTTTGTGGAAAACCGAGCCGTGACACAACTCTGTTTAAGCAGGGCCATGACTTTAGCTAGCAGGTAGCTAAGCGGGTGATGAGCGGCTGCTTTGGTCTTAGTGCTGCTTTCAATACATAATAACAAAGTAGGAAATCTATAAGTCAAACATAAAACGTTGACATAAATGTTTTATTCTATTGATTTATTCTCGTGTGTGCGTAAATTTCTATTTAATAATTAAACCTACTATTTTCAGATAACTTAGCAATGTTTTTCACTTTTATGAGGAATTATTGTTTACTTGGATGAACTAAATACAAGTTTTACGACTGCACTTGAACGCAGCCAAGTACAACGCAAAAACCCATAAAAAACACCAACACCATTCATAAAAAAGTTATGAATGTTGTTGTTTATTATATTTAACAATGATATTTAATTATTTCTGTCGCATCTTGCGTGTACTAAGCCACTCAGGAACATTAACTGAGTTACATTTATATTTTTATCGACTGCAATGCCTGAAGACGCTGCGTACGTGCTCTACAATTACGTCGTGACGTCCTTCCGTCTTCCTTTCCTCTGCTACCGGCGAGGTGAGGATAGCTGAAAAATTATGTCGAGACTTTCATCTAATCCCATCTGATTTAATTAAACACATTTTTACTTCATTCTTTAACGAATCCGATGTGACCACTATTACATTTCACAACTTAAAGCTTATTTTGCTTTGTTTTTATAATTTGATGGAGAAAAATGACTAGTTTTGTAGTAGGCTGACAGTCTGAGGCCTGGTTGCTCTATATAAATGGCGGCTGCTGGTTGAAATGTGTAATATTTAAACCCCGTGTTTCTCTGGCTTCAGGTAGTTTTATGAACAGACGGGTGTAAATGAAGTGTCTTTAAGCAAGATAGGAGTGCAGCAATGTAGCTAAAAGCTAGCAATAGCCTTTAGCAGATATACTGCTTCACATTCTATTTACATTTGGCTCGTACGTGGATATGGATCATTTATACACACATGCTTTATTTATTAAACACTACTCTCCTGACTCCATTTACTTGTATCTTTAATGGCTGTAGATTGGTGTCGTGGCAAATTTTGCTCAGACTTCAACAAACTTGTATGATTTCAGAATGAAGACCATTCTCAGCAGCCAGACTGTCGACCTCCCCGACAATGGTGAGATACTTCTTGTTCTGCCTGTATATAATTATGGTTAATTTTTTTTTTACTTCTCACCTGCGTTTTAAACATGCCACCTGTACTGTGTGATTGCAGTGGAAGTGAGGTTAAAGGGGCGAACGGTGACTGTCAAAGGGCCCCGTGGCAAGCTCACCAGGGAGTTCAACCACATCAACTTGGAGCTTAGCCTGCTGGGCAAGAAACAGAAGAAGGTAACACGATTTGTGATAAGAAATGGGTACAAACATTGCATTTTATTGTGGCGTGAATGGTAGTAAAGATGTATAACAAAAATCGAAAACAAATTCATCCGAAACCTGTGCAGTCGTGGCTACCTAAGTGTGCTTTTGTCAAGTTAGCAAGGAAATCTACACACCACAGAACATGGAGAATAATTCATCCCAAATGTTGCTGGAAGATCTGAGAAACTTGGAATCACTTTTTTTTTAAACCAACACAACATCCTGGTGCATTTCTAACTTATCGGGACTTTCAGCTGGTCCAGCCTAAAACCAAAACACCCAAACACAAACTGAGCAGTGCAGTGTCTGGAATATTCAGACCTCTGTGTTGGACAAATTAAACCTCCTCTCCACAGACACATGCATGGCTCAACACAGACTCTGCTTTTCAGGACAACACTGCTATGCACCTACACTTCAAGGATAAGATATTCTTTTGAGGATCAAAATGTTCATAGTTTGGACAAAGACGTTGGATGTAGGGATGCAGAATATATCAGCATTAACATCGTTATCGGCTGATGTAGTTCATTTGTTTTTAGCATGTCGGTATCGAACTGATAAGGATAACTGGGTTTGATATTAACGTCTATTGATTTCCTGCTTGTTGCCGTTTCTGTTTTGGGAGGGGAAATGGTTGGTCAAGGGGTATCTGATCATGGCAGTGACACTGCCGCCATGGATAAATAAAGTAGAGAGCCATATCAGCGGTCTGGTCGTTTTTTACGGTATGGAAAAACGATGTGTTTGTGTGCATATATTTATATATAATAATTTGTGCAACACAGCAATAGTAATATCAGATATTGATATCGTCTGAAATTTTCATGCTGGTGCATCCCTCATCAGATGGGCTGAGAGAAGGGTAAAGGAAGTCATGACAATCGCAAATGGAGTTTTTTCAGGAGTGTAATGGGAGAATAAAGTTTTATTTCAGGATGTTAGCCATCGCTTTGAGAAGCGCTGAGTCCTGCTATCCTTTAGCAGCACCAACACAGCATGCTGGCCTCTGCCCCGGAGAGATTAGCAGTCAGACTACAAATATTGGATCCCAGAAGCAGTTCTTTAATTATAATGGAGTATAATATCAGCTTTATGAGAAAGTGTTAGGACAACTCGAACCAGTTCAGTGTAGCCCCCTGGTACCCACAGTGCAATGTGCCTATCCATGGCGTCCTAGCCTATGTTCATATTTTAGGTGTTGGTGATGTTTATAGTAAGTTTGTAGCTAAACCTCCACATTGTGATCTGATTTGTTGCTAATGATTTTCTTTATTAAATGAAGCTAACTGGATCACTGTCTTCCTCAGCTTCGTGTGGATAAATGGTGGGGAAACAGGAAGGAGCTGGCCACAGTGCGCACCATCTGCAGCCACGTCCAGAACATGATCAAAGGTGTCACTCTGGTGAGACTCGTTCAGTTTGACTCGGAGTGAATCAATGTCACATTCAGAGGCTGAATTCATCGGCTGCTTCCTTCACGGCCGACAAACGCATCGTCCTTTTGCCCCAATTTGAGGGACGGGTCTGATGGATCGTTCTCGGCCCAGCCTATCCCATAATGCATCGCGGGCCGACTGGAGATTTTTGTTGTGCTAGTAATGTTGGACGAAAGGAGTACAGTATTAAACAAAAACTGGCAGTATAAAAATGAAGTTTGAAGCGGTTGTTAATTCTTTAATCATTTGTATAGACTTTTTTTTTTTTTTAGTATTTTGTAAGAAATCAATCAAGTTATAGTGAAATAAACGTGCACATATGGTTGGTCCCTTAGTTCTTCAAATATTGCCTTTAAGTTCATTTTGTTTTGTCATATGGTTAATGCTAAGATATTGATATTTCGCTCATTTTGATCTATTTTGGCCTCTGTTAAGCATCGTCACTTTTTTCCGGTGTTCCTTCAGAGGACCCAGCCACTGAATGTGGACCCAGCCTCTGTGGCAGGATTAGTGGATCTGTTTTGTGCGGATTTACAACTTGACTCTGCTTTTATTTGTTGAACAAATTAAGCTCAGTGCTTCTTTCTCTTCGTTTGCTGCAGGGTTTCAGGTATAAAATGCGATCTGTGTATGCCCATTTCCCCATCAACGTGGTCATTCAGGAGTCAGGATCTCTGGTAGAAATCAGGAACTTCTTGGGAGAGAAGTACATTCGTCGCGTCAGAATGAGGCCAGGTGAGTTTCATAAATGCTAATCTACTTGTTGTGTTCATAGAGCTGCATTATAATCTCAGTGTGTGTGTGTGTGTGTATATACTGCTCAAAAAAATAAAGGGAACACTTCGCATTCGCATTGAGTACTTTGTTCTGTAGAGTTGAATGTGCTTCACAAAAGTTTGATTTACTTGGACTTTAGCGTGCGTTGTTTAAGTGTTCCCTTTATTTTTTTGAGCAGTATATACACACACACACACACACA